CACCACCACCACGACAAGGACCACGACAAAAACTGCTGCTACCTACTACTGCCTTTGGCCGGTTCTAAATTCCTGCTCAAGCAAGTGGTTTGGCTGCAGCGGCCTGACCGAGTTTTGGTTTCAGTGTACTTGCTGGGGTCCATGGTGAAGGCAACCATTGTATTGCACGTGTGTGCATACATAAATACATGCATACANNACACACAGAGACGACCATACGTATGTAGTATCTGTGGGTGTGCATATACATGCATGATTGTGGGTGTGCGCACCGACATTTCTCGAAAACAAGACAAATATATTAATCCGCACACACACACACATACACAACAATACGTACCCAGAGCGCATTGCTCCGCATCACTCAACGGGCCTTATCCTGGATATCATGTTCACTGATTGCGTTGTTTCGTCTCTTTCAGGTTGCCGTAGCTGCTGCTACTGCTGCTACGATTGATCTCGCTGCAACTGGTGATGACATCAGCCTTCTACTTTGTCCGTCTATGCTTCAATTCAACATTTACCTATATTTGGCTGTCATTAGTGATCATTAGTGCTGTGCAGTGCTGCTGAGTCACTCAGATTCTACTCCCTTCTATTCCAACCCATCTTATTCAAAGAACTCTCTCGAGCTTTACCCAGCTGTGGTTCGCCTGGTTTCCCCCGTCAGCTTCCAGCCTGCAGACGTTTTGCTGTCGCGCCACTGACACCCCACTTGTCAATGCCGCGAGGCCGATTCAGACTGGCGACTGTTCGGGCCTTCAGAGTTAAGGTAGTTCTGGTTTGGGCAGTACTGGCAAAACCACTTTGGCGATTAGAACAGAAAAATCTGCAACAGTAGATCTATGACTTCCCCCGTTGTGCACATTTTGCCGACAGCCGTTCTGATGTGTTGCTCCGTCGGCCCTTTATGAGGTATGACCCAACTCGATGTTGCCATCGAACGGCATCATGTGTATCGTGCTTGTTGCGCTGAAGCCTTCGCTGCCGCTAGCCCACTGTACGTATCTCAGCGTGCCTGCACCCCGTCGAGTGCCCGCGTTTGCGGGATCGACACGGCTCCTTCACCGGTGCCCGGTGCGGGGCCAGGAGCTTCTTTGCCCACATAAGAATGACGCAGCGATCTGGTCCGAGTGGTGGCATGAGCCGAAAGTACTTATGTCCAAAGATCAGATTTTCGGGCTTTGCTCGGCCCAAGCAGATCAGTCCACGTCGATGGACACTGGCCTCAGGGCAAACTGGAACCGCGGGCTCTTCTCCTTTAGCTACACTAAGCATGGGGATGGGGACTCGGTTTAGGGAGCAAGACAGCGATCAAACGGATATACTGGCATATGTGATGCTGATCATTTGCCAGAGTAAGGCAACCACTGTTGCCCTCACCAGAATCCCATTTGCCACACGCTCACGGCCACAAGGCAACAGCGTGGTGTTTCTCTCTGCCCTCCCGCATCTTCCATTGTTAAAAAGCAGTATTCTCAACATTCGCCCGCTTGAGTTCGACTATTCTTCCGGGATGCTCCGATACCCAGGAGTCCTCCCCAGCGTCCTGCCCAGAAGGACATGAAAGCAGATCCAGTGGCTGCAAACAGCTAGCTCCTCGGCACCTGCTTCCTTTGGTCTCGGAAAGAAGAGCCGAAGCCTGGGGCGGCAACCGCTTCTTCAACAGGCTGCAGTTTGACTCAGGAGGCCTCGAAGACAGAAAGATTAAGGTCTGCCACAATCTGCACGGGCGTCCCTAAGGAGCCAGGAGCTAGGCAATGCTACGCATTCTCGGCAAAACCTGCCAGCTGCAGGCTTTGAGGATCGCTCCAGCCTCTTTCAACAAGGCGGCGTCTGGTTGCTCAGACTTAGAACTTGTCGGGTCTGATTTCGTTGAGCCTTTCCTGCTTCACGTCGTGGCGCGAGTGTTGCTGCATGCCTGCTGCGCGCTGCGTCTTCTTGCATTTCGACCTGCCTGCAGCCTGAGTTAAACTGTTAACCCATCTTAACGTAGGGCCGACGTAGGGGAGCATCGAGAACCCGACAAAGCACCAGGATTCAAAGCATTTGGGCTTAGAGCCAGCTTTGAAATGGCCATAAACCCAATGGCAGCGAAGCGGCTGGCGAGGATCCTCTCCGACCGACTGCTGTGCTCCAGGTGGATTGGGATTGCCTACGAAGGCTCAACCCGTGGTCGCTTTGGGTCACGAGGACACCAGGAGATCCGAACTCCGAAGTTCCCCCACAGAAGCTGACTCCCCTAGCACCGAGCCTGCCGCCTCTGCCGCCTCTGCCGACTCTGGCTCTGGCGGAGTCTCGGTGACGGGTCGAGTGGTCGAGAACGTCCCCTGAGGCACCGTGGGGCCTCTCTCCTCAAAAAGCCGTCTCTGACATCCCCTCCCCGACCTTCGAGCCCACATTCTCGGCGCCGATTTTGGATGCCTGCCAGGAGCCGCCTACTTATAGTGCACACAGACAAACAAGCACATAGACAAACACGATAAAACAAGAGCGTGCAGCTGCACTTCCGCACAAGAGCCACGACGCACACACACTTGCACTGACACTTCCTCCTACGCTTGCGCTTACACTTACGCGTACACTTACAGACTTACACGCTTACAGACTACTTCAACACTTACGCTCGCTTTTGCAAAACGACGGCTGAACCGAGCGCGATGCCAACGGGTTTCAGGTGCCAACTAATACCGACTGATGCCAACAACGCCAACTGATGCCTACTCCTGGCGATGAGAGTGGAGACAGCAGGTAAGTTTACAGTACACGGGCTCCGCCGGAGGATCTTCGTTAACCACGATGCCCTGCTTATTGCATATAGTCAGGACCCGTACGGATATGAGCTTTCACACACACACACACAAACACAC